ACTATTAAGATCGCAGTGCAGGTAACGCCGTCTCTTGAGAATGGTGAGTAATGATTTCCTCCATCCGTTGTATATATGTGGGGCATATAGATGTCGCCGCCACAGATGAAACAGGGAGAATGACCTACCACGCGAGCCTGTCTGTGCATAATTCGCGGGTGTTAACGAGAGCAGATGTAGCCGGGTTCAACGGCTTCATAAGCATGCAGGAGTTCAAGATAATATTTTTTGGGTCACCCAACCTATAACCGGCCATTGCGAAAGTTGCTTAACTTCTACCATCTGATGATGCATTGATATCAGTTTCTTTTTTATGAGAAATACATTTAGAAAATATACCATTTATTTACACCCATATCAGATATTTCCCTGCTGGGCTGGCCTCGTCCAGGTAATTGTGATTTAGATTCAGTCCTCGACCCACGGCCAGTCGCCCCCTCCTTCCTTCCTCACAAGTTCACAGCTGCGTGCATGCTATGAATATTAATAATTCATAATTCTGGTTACAATAGAATAGAATAGAATAGAATAGAATAGAATAGAAAGCTTTATTGTCATGCTGAGTACAATGGTGTTACAAGTAATTTCTTAGTTCTAGGCAGCTGTACGTTTCGGACGTACAATATTCATTATAGGTGGTAAATGCTATTAAAAATTTCGAAAATACTCTTTTAAATTATAAAAACATTTATCTATTAACCATTTCTTTAATTTAATTTTAAATTCCAATAAATTTAAATCTTTAATGTCATTGGGCAAATTGTTAAATATTTTAATTCCACTTATATAAGAGCTTTTGTCAAATATATAGCTAGTCGATAATGCAGTATTCATGTCATTTTTATATTGGGCTCGTATATTAGCTTTAGTCAGATTTTTTTTACAAAAATATTCGTCATGATTTTTTACAAACACACATATTTCAAATATATATATACAAGTCAATGTTAGGTATCTATATTTTATAAATACTGGTCTTACAGATTCAAGTGGGTCAATTTTATATATAATTCGCAAACACCTCTTTTGTAAAATAAATGTAGAATGAGCATTTACCGAATTACCCCAAAATATGATTCCGTATGTCAAAAGAGGGTATACATAGCCATAATATGCATTTCGAGCAACATAAATGGAAGTTATATTAGTCAATACTGATACAAGGTAACATTTACTAGATAATCTATTATTTATTTTATTTATATGTGATTTCCAATTGAGATGGGGGTCAATATTAATGCCTAGAAAATTTGTCTCATTAGCTTGCTCGATTTTTTTATTATTGATAACTATGTCAATATCATGTAATTTCTTTTTGTAATTCCTAAATTGCATAATCTTTGTCTTTTCTAGATTCACTTTAAGATTTAGGGTTGACAACCATTTTATCACGATATTAAGAGAATCACGTACTTGATCGTCAAGGTTTGAACATTTGTCTTTTTGAATGAATATAGTGGCATCATCCGCAAACATAACACATAAGTATTTTGTTACTAGTGGCAGTTCATTAATATACAGCGGAAACATTAAAGGAGCTAATATACTACCCTGTGGAACACCCAGTATTACTTGTTCGAAGTCCGACTGAACTCTTGTCATGACTTTTGTATTCTTATCATATACATCTAATACTGTCGCTTGTTGTCGATTTTCTAGGTATGATTGTAACAGTTTGAAAGCATTACCACGTATTCCAACATGATACAACTGTTTTAGTAGAATTTCATGTTGGACGCAGTCAAATGCTTTTGACAAGTCTAAGAAAAGACCTATGCCTGAATCTTTCTTATCAATGGCTGTCCAAATCTGTTTTAACATTCTAAATATAGCTAATGTGGTATTTTTATTCTTTTGAAAACCATATTGATTTTCATGTAGAATACTATGTTTATTAAAAAAGGAACTAATTCTATTGAAAATAATCTTTTCAAACAATTTAGAAAAGTTGGATAACAGTGCAATAGGTCTATAGTTATTAATTTCTGATTTGGAGCCATTTTTGTACAAAGGTTTAATTAGCCCCTTTTTCAATTCATCGGGAAATACTCCGGTCTCTATTGTTAGATTAATAATGTAAGCCAGTGGTTTTGCTATCTATTGGATACTTGCCTTTATAATGGACATAGGTATTTCGTCATGGCCAGTACTCTTTTTATTTTTAAATCCTTTTACAATTTTTATTATTTCAACTGTATCTACTGGAGTCAAAAAAATGCTGTTTAAATTAGATTGGGTCAAAGGTTTGTATGTATTGCCTGATTTGGTTTTAGTGATGTCATCATTAAAGTAAATAAAATGTCTATTAATTATTTTAGCAATGTCAATTGGGTCAGTAATAATTTCATTATCTTTCCTAATAGTATCAATTGTTTGTTTAATTATGTTTGTCTGTGATGTATTTTGTTTAATCACTCGCCATGTGGCTCTACTTTTATTTGTACTCTGCTGAATGTAATTTATATTTGTTAATTTCTTTGATTGTTTTATCACATTTTTAAAATTTTTGCAATATCTTTTATAGCTATTTTTAATGTTATTACACGTGCTTCTTTTAGAAAGAAGGTACAGATATCTTTTATGTTTACTAGCCGTCTTAATTCCTTTGGTTTTCCAATGTTGAGATTGTCTAGAAGTTATTTTCTTTTTTTCAATGGGCACACAGAGGTCATATAAAAGTCGAAATATGTCAATAAATTTATTATAAGCGCTGTTGACGTCAGTTTGATTACATACGTCCGAAAAATTGATTTGGGTCACATAATTTGTAAAAATTTCCATATATTTATCATTATTCCTCCTGTACATAAACCAAAATGGCTGATTGTAATTAATTGTGACTGAAATTGATATTATTTGGCATGTGTGATCTGATAGTCCTAGGTCTAAGACCTCTGTATTGTACTGTTTGATATTTGAAAATATATTATCGATGCATGTTTGGGAATGAAGGGTAAGCCTAGTAGGTACATTTATTGTCGGATATAAATTATAAGTTCTGAACATATTCAAAAATAATTCACTTCTATTATTGACTTCGAGAATATTGACATTAAAGTCACCCAGAACATGTATCTTATTGAAAGTAGATCTGGTTCTAATAATAACTTTATGCAGCAGATTCTCCATATTAGTTATAAAAGTATCAAAGCAACCATTAGGAGTTCTATAAACACATACTATTAAATTATTAATTCCACTTAGTACAATTCCACAACATTCAAAATGACCTTCAATGGACATGTCTGAGATAAACTGCAGTTCACGGTAGTCGACAGTGTTCGCTACAAAAATTGCAACACCACCTCGTCTCTTACACTGTTATACTACACTGTGGGCTTAGATGATTTCGCTTCTTTTTGTAGTAGAAAAGATTTCTATAAAGTAGCAGGATCGATGTACATATTTAAATAAATAAATTGTAAATAAATATTTCTAACACTCACACCAATTAACCTAGCCACAAAGTAAGCACTATAAGGCTTGTGTTATGGGATACTTGGGTATCGGATAGAATGCATATATTGTACATTAAGTATATTTATATTAAATATCCATGACTGGAGTACCAATGCTCGTATTCCTCACACAAACATCTGCCCCCACCGGGATTCGAACCCGGGAGCTCTCGAGTCGGCGACACCATGAAACTCGGCGTATAAAACCACTTGGCCACTGAGGTCGTCATCTTTAAATTTTATTTGACCAGGAATCGAACCCAATACAGGAATTATTTTATTGGTGAATTGATTTTTAAAAGCAAAGAAACGGAATCGAAGAGCCTTTATTTTCTCCCTTACAGCAGCAGGACCATAGGCGACAGACCATAGACAAGGTTAATGAGAGTTCGCAGGACTTTTATCTAAGACTAGCGGTCCGCCCTCGCTTCGCTTCGGTGTAGAGCTGAAGTGTAGACTACAGTTTTTGTTCTCAGGCTTGTATTATACACAATGACATTCATATATGATTGTTCTTATACCTGCATGCAAAGTCTCAGCCCGATCGGTTTAAAATTGACAAAGTTTCATACAAACTTTCATTCCCTATTTTATCCCCTTGGGGGTAGAACTGATCAAAATCTTTTCTTAGCGGATGCCTACGTTATAACATCTACCTGCATGCCAAATTTCAGCCCGATCCGTCCAGTGGTTTGGGCTGTGCATTGATAGATCACTATGTCAGTCAGTCACCTTTGAGTTTTATATATAGATATCTTACACTAGGAACTACTTTATGGTGACTTTATGGTATCGACCTGTTACAAACATCCACCCCTATTTTCACCTCCTTAAAGGATCCTGTCCTTTCCCGGGACTTAAACTATATGTATACCAGATTTCATATAAATCGGTTTAGCTGTTTAAGCTTGTAGAGGTAACAGACAGAAACACTTTCGCTTTATAATATTAGTAAATATTTCAGTGTATTACATCCCATTCCTATGCAGCGAATCATTTGCATGGAGAGGGAGGTCTAAGGGCGTAGCGGGCTTTTGCTCCAATTTGAGAGTGCGCCTGAGGAAATAACCTCCACCTTACAGAAGCATGCTTTCTTTATGTACAGAAGGTCTCAGTGAAAAAGGACTATCTTTTGGTGGTGGTAGGCAACGTGTACTCTGGTTTTGCAAGCAATGCGGGACGCTTAACATCAGGTGAGCTATACGAATGTAAATACCTCTCTGGAACTATGGAAATAAAGAAAAACCTAAATCTTCTCGTAAAATCTCTACAATAAAATCTGTCGATTGAAGAAGAAAGTTAACAGTGCTAAATCTCTCTGGGGTCCGTCGGTCCCTCAAGCCCGAGAACAGCGATCATCGTCAGGGTTGATCCGAAGCGGACGATCCGCTCCCACTGATTTCTATCCAGCGCCAATGCAAAATAGCGTTTTGAGAATGAAACTCACATGGAACTATAAAAATACGTTTAATACTAGCATTTAATACATAAGGACTAAGCGTAGGAATCGTGCGTGCGTGTGTCTCGCGCCGTCGGCCCCGGTCACCGGTGCGGCGGCAGGAACCCGAGCGCGCGCAGCGCCTTGTCGGCGCGCGTGGCGAGCGGCTCGCGCCAGCGCCACACCGCCGTGTCCCTCACCGGCTGCGCGCGCAGCTCCGCGCAGGTCTTGCTGAGCGCCGTGACGCAGTCGGCGCGGTAGTGCTGCAGGCGCGCGTGCCGCGTGTCCAGCGCATACGAGGAGCACGCGCCGCCCAGGCACGCCAGCGGGAAGTGGTTGTGGAGCGCCAGCACGCGCTCCGTCTCGTGGAACGCCTTCACGTACTGGCCCGGCTTGGTGAAGTTGCGCGTGCGGTACACGTGCTGCAGCATGTGCAGGTGTCGCGGGACCGACTCCTCCCAGCCGTGGTCGTGCGCGAGCGAGTCCAGGAAGTACAGGTTGGACGCGTGGTACGACGAGCGCGCCGGCTTGCCCTCCGCGGGCGTCGACAGCGGCAGCACTCGTTTCATCAGCGAGCTCCAGTCGTCGTCCTCCAGCGGCACGATGACCTCGTCGATGTCCAGCAGCGCCAGCCACCGGTACTCGTACATGTGCCGGTACAGGCAGTCGTTGTACGGGATCAGTTCCATCTGGCGCTTGTGCGTCGTCTTCTTCTTCAGATACATGTGCTGCAGCCCCGGCAGGTTGGGCTGGCCGCCGGGCAGCGTCACCGGAGTCACGGTCACCGCGCCTCGCGCGGTGTAGTAGTCCAGCACTTTCGTTATGTTCGGATGCACTTGCAGCTCGTAGAAAAATATCTTGTCGGCGCCGAGCAGGCGCACGAGCTCGATCCACTCGACGAGCCGCACGGAGAGGTCCTCGTGCAGAAAGTCGAGACCTTTGACGCAGACGGCGAACTCTTTTTTCTCTTCGGCGGGCGGACGCTGATAGTGCACGCGCAAGTTGTTCGTCGCCCGATCGCAGGGGTTCTCCACGATGGAGACGGAGGCGGGCACCAGGTGGCGCACCTCCTGCGGCAGCACGCACGCCATCAGGTAGGGCTGCAGCACGCGGTCGCGGTAGTTGCCCCACTTGCTGTTCCACACGTACTTGTACTCGAGATTTCGCACCACCACCGGCGCGTCGCGCTCCTCGAACCACAGCTGGCAATGCGTCGCGAGCGCAGGCTTGATGCGGTCGTGCACCGCGAGCACGCGCACCGCGGGTCCTATGCGCGAAGTGTTACGCGCGTCCATGTATGCGCCGTAGAAGTGGAACACGCCCTCGGACGAGCGGAACGTCTGCCAGTAGGTGTTGTGGAATTCGAGATCGTAAATGGACGGGAAAGGCGCGCAGTCTTTCTTCTTGAAGAATTTGTTCTTGTCGTCCTTGTGTCTGTGCCAGTAGGCGAGGGGGAGGGAGGCCAGACGGCGCTCCGCGTCGGCGACCAGTTGGTCCTCGCTGAGGACGCGGGTGTCGGTGGCGAGGCGCGGCGGCGGCGTGGCAGGCGTGGAGGCGGCCGGCTCGGACTGCAGCAGCAGGCGCGCGGGGGGAGCGGGCGGGGCGGGCGGGGCTCGCGGCGGCGCGACGGCGGGGTGCAGGCGAGGCAGCGCCAGCGCCGCCAGCGCGCCCCAGCACACCAGCGCGCACAGCCAGCGCAGCCGCGCGCGGGACCCGCCGCTCCACCACCGCACCACCCACCCGCGCATATTCTGCAAATAAACAAACACACGCAAGTTATTATAAAAATCATAAACAATGATTATGGTAATCTAAATATTCTTTTTATTATTGAAAAAAACCTGGCTGGAATCGAACCGACATCCTTGGCATTCGAGAAAATGCACCGACCTGCCAGCCATCATAGTTTCGTTATCGGAAAGGACGAGTCAATTCTATTTTAATGTTTCCTTTTGAAAAATAGTACCTACAATGTTCAATAAGCTCTTATTATAAGTACAAAACGTACAAAGGAAGAAGTACCTAGTAAAAATATTTACAGTCAAATGCTTATATAACATAAAGATAAGGAACTTTCTAAGTGTTAATTGCAGAAAACGGTGACAGTTCTGGTATCCAAATCATGATTCTGGAGTATAACATGAAACTACATAAGGTACAGATACTATTTAAGATCTACAAAATACTTAAACACGTGCTGCACTAGCTATTCTCTATTTGCCGAATCAACTACTATCCATCTACCGCCCAAAGCTCTGACTACTATACTACCAAAGCTCTATTAATTGCCATATTAGCAATATCAATATCATCAAGTACTTCATACTTATTAGATAGAATCAGTATAAGAAACGCAAGGATTTCAATCGAGGCACATACGATGTCATAGGATTGGCAGATCTTCACCCCGCAGGCTCCACACTGAATGTGGACCTTTAGATATTTGTCGTCTCCTTCTTCGGTCATGGCTCCTCCTAACCCAGGCTGGTTTCCAGACTGTCGCTACACCACAGTCCCAAATCCACTTTGTCATCGTCATCGTATTTTAACACGCGGAATTTACTATTGGTATTCTAACAACGGTTTGGTTATCTCATACTACAATGAATTTGTATTCTTTTAATTTAATCCGATACCCCATGAACTCCCTAGAATATAAATTATGTACATTTATCGTAACATCTCTTCTTACGCTAACGTTATAAATATTAGTGTATCAAAATGACACCGAAACGTCATTTACTGTGATGCCAAAAATGACAAAGAGAATGTTGAATGAAAGGTTAAAGGTAGAGATAAAAAAGAGGTTACATAGGTAAATACGTATTGACTAATCTTATAAAATAGAATTGTGAACATGGTGCCAATTATAATGAACCAAAGTAATCATCGAGAATTGCAAAAGAATTAATCTGAGAGATCTGATCCGAAATAGCGAACAATAATAAAATAATTACTCAACAAGTTCATTCAAGAAAAGATGAATCCAACAATCATACTGTGGCAGACATGAGATAATTATAGATGGTTGTCCGTTGCTTTATAATAGAAGGACTGACTGCTTAGCTGTGTTAGTGTGAGTGGTGTTGCATCTTGCAACCTCATGTTTACGTTCTATATTGGATGATATGTATTACGAGTGGTCTGGTCGGGGCGAGTAACGGCATTGCCTCTCCTCTCTCCGAGCCGCAGTTGGCGAGTACCGTTCCGATCCAGCGCCCACGATATAAACCTGATTCTTAGATTCTTGTTTTGTTTATTATATATATTAAAATCACGATGTTGTTTATTATTAAAGTCATGATTTCCTATCTACAATTATTATTATAACAAGGATGTTGGATTGATTTTCATTACACGTAATTTTAGAACTACTTTTACAAACATTCAGTTCACAATATGATTAGAGAGCACAATCTCTAACATAAATGAGTTCATCGATGTACGGAAATAAAATTATTATATAAATCCGACAGTCTCTAAAGATGGATCAATTTTTATTTACATACCAAAAGTATGCACGTAACTTTTTTTGTAACATCATTCTATCAGATCACGATTCTTAATGTAAACATTTTATCAGATGTTAGCTCTGGTAGTGAACAACCTTGTAGTAGTTGGGACAGGAAAGACGTATTTAAGATAGTAACGTCTTATAAATAAAAACGAATATGAATCTCTAGAATGATTATTCATCTAATACTATGGCTATAATTGTATTTATAGCCATAGTATTAAAAGCGCCTTATTGTGATAGGTTCGTTACAAAAACTACAAATTACTTAACAACAACCACAGTATCGAGTGATGACAAAACTTCTACGAGAAAAAAAAACTATCAGCTCATCAAGTTACAATCGAGTGTTTGAATGTCTCAAATTACGACGAAAATGATTTCTACGGTTTGTTGTCTCGTATTCTGACTCATTTTCGATTTCACGGCTCGGATCGGAATTCTATAGCAACCGTAGATTATCTAGTAACAGTAATAACATGAGTTTCATTTTAAATATACAAATTCCATGGTCAAAACATTTAAATCTAGAGTGGCCATTGGCTTACCGGTTTTTAGAGTCAATTTATAGAAAATCAACATTTCTACTAGATGACATGCCTGAATTTGATGGCATCAGTGTATCTGATTTCCACAAAGCCAATACATAATAATATATTGTTCAATATTTCATTTAAAACAGTCATATTGTTACCTGTCGCTATTTATTCATGCATTGTGTTGTTAGTTGAAGTTAAAGACACTGCTTTTTCATAGACGTTTCTCTGACTTGAATTTTAATATCTCACTGTTCAATTTAGTTTGAAGTTTAAAGAATCAGGATAGTATGTGTTATAACTTATAATGAACGCTTGTAGTATGTCTATTGTTAAAAATTTGAAATTGTCCTGTTATCGCCTCCGAGATTTATTTTTCTTTACTATAGTAGTACCCTCAGTACGACCAGCCAGATCTCTTCGGCGATAACATGACAATTCAGATCGACCTTCACTTAGGTAAGTTCGTTTGATCATTCAAGAATGTCTAGTACTTGTCGTATTAGTTTCAGCTAGATCGGTGTTTACTGTTTAGGTATTTAGTTAATAATGATGTAGTTTTAGTGTATTTGTTAGCTACACGGGCTGAATGACGTTGGCCGCGTTCCGATCCGAGCTCCAGTTACGTTTGAGTAATGAGTGGTGCTCGTTCATGCGACAATTTCTATGAATATTATTAACTCGTGTCGATGTGGTCGTTTATTATAGAACCGGTTTTTAGACTTGTTGGTATTGTGATTCCTTAAACAACATTTTAAATATATATAAATGTAGTTTGAACGGTAATTTAAACTCCTTTTCAGTCGTCCGTTTTATCTAAACTTTCTTGAATTGTTTCGTATAAGGCATTCTGACAAATGGCAACTTGAAAATCGCGTAGCGCCTTCGGTCAAGGCCGCACTCCCCTCCCCTCGCACTCCGCTAAGTCTGCGGTGACTACAGTCACAACGGGACTTCTAGTGGATTCATTATCTTGCAAACATATCTGCTATTCAATCAACAAGTCTAAGCACCACAAGGATAATTGCACTGTTACACTGCACATTTTCTAAGCGCATGTCTTGCCATTAAAATAAGTCGTGTAATTCTTGTAAATGCAGCGTTTAGATGTAATGCGGGAATTGTAATGATCGAGAGTTGATAGCGATTGAACAGTGACACGTTGCAGTGTTACCAACCCTTACCAAAATTTTACCCTAAGTATTTTTTAAATTCCCCTAAATGTAAAAATTTATACTTATCTACTACTTACTATTACTACTTATCTTATTACCTAAATTCTTTCGTTGTTTATAAATTAAAACGTCACATATTTAGTTACAGTAAATTATTTTATTGAATAAATACATTTTCCGAATGGAAAATCAAACGAAAATGAGCTGACAGGCTGTTAAATCTTATTACCCTGTTTTGATTGGTGGAAGGCAAAGAACTTTAGTCCATACATCCTTAGGAAACAACCTGCCACACAGTGAGTTCAGTCGTTTCATATCGTGGTGCGTTCCATTCTACTCACAAAACTGAAAGAAATAACACGCTTTGTTTTTCGATTTAATTGAAAGTTTTGTTAAAAGCCCCTAAAAGAACCCCCAAAAAATTCCAGCCGAGTCCGTTTTAACCCTTCTAGCCCCTAAATCTGGGGGCAAAACCCCTAAGTTGGGAACCCTGACACGTTGGAATATTGCACAGCGTCACAAATATCTGTGCAGACTGCAGAGCGCAGACAGACCTTGGCGACGCGCGATGCAGTCAGTGAGTGATTGTTTCCTGCGCGGCGCGGCGGCGGGACCGGCCGGCTGCGGGACACACCTTGTCGCCTCATAAAGGGACATTGAATATTGATAGAAGGTTCTCGGGTTTCAAACCATTGTTGGAGGACTATCGATAGTTTGGCTAACCATAGTTGACGTTTGAAAATATTCACAATGGGGTATCTTACATTGATCAATATTATCTACCCTAACTACTTTGATATTTAAGATGTAAATGTTTAATTACATCTATTATAAATAACTCTGTTTGTATTTATACTGTGTGACACAGCAATCAAAATGCAGGTGAACAATTAATGTATAATTTCACATTATGTAATGAAAGGTGACTTCATTAATCATCTCTGAAGTCATTTTTCAACCTGACAACTCTGTAAATGATAAAACAGGGAGAAAAAAACAGCCCTTGCTGAGTTTCTTGCCGGGTTCTTCTCAGTACAAAGTCTCCCGCCGTAGATTTACGAACCCATGACGTAGCTTCTAGACATTCATATGTGCTTGTAACAGCCTAAACTGAATAAATGATTTTGATTATGAATATATCGCGATACTAGGATCAAAGTTGTAGCGGCGATACTGCGATACGGTGTATCATGCTCTAATATCACCTGACATATCGATATTTCTTTATGATTGCTGTCGATAGTATCGATACAATCAACAGACCTTCTTATAGATATTGTGACTTTGATGCAAGTTATCGATGTTCAAATCTATTGCTGTAACACTATTTCAAATATAAAAGTTTGTATCGATAAGTTCCATGCTTAACATAACACAAAAAGATTTCTTAAGATAACGAACGTAAGCGTGTTTTTAATATTCTGTAATCGTTATAAAAATATGCTATAGAAGAAAGGAAAATATTTGCGTATTTAATTATGAAAATATTAACTTAAACAGAAGATAAAAAATATATGATATGACAC